TGGCGCCACTGAAGCTTTTTAGTTGAGATTTTTGTTGAGCTAAGTTGATCTTACGAAACTCAAACTGTTACTTCAGAACGAATTCCTGAAAACAGGCCGTAGTGTCGCAGGAGGCAGACATACAGAATGAACCCCGTTCTCCTCATTACTTTCTCTGGCTGTCTTGGCTTGCTGGAGCTTTCCTGAATATCTGAGTGATAAAGGCGCAAAGGAGGAGTAACACACAGAGAGAGAGGAAAAGAGTGGGAGAGCTAGAGAGACTGCGAGAAAGGGGAAAGGTTACACATGAGAAAAAATATTATGGAGAATTCCAGCTACTCCCAAAGGCCGGTTTATACTTTGTTTCATATATTGTGTGTTGTTGCCTGCTAAAAGTCCTGTTAGATAGGGAAAGATCTGGCAATAAAGTCTATTTGAATTTGAGAGGAGAGAATGAGGTAGCAAGATCAGAAGAGAGAGAGTAGGGGGAGGGAAGGAGAGAGAGACCAAGGAGACAGGAGAGAGAAAGACAGCGACTGTAATTGAGCCCCACAGTGGTAAGAGAGGGAGCGAGAGATTGGTTGGAAAGAGGCAAGTCATTACCAGCACAGGATGCTGACCGGAGGGAGGGAAGATTGAGAGATGGAGAGAGAGAGAGCAAACAAACGAACAGGATATGGGCCAGAGTGGTGGGGTTAGATAAGAGACAATGTGTGTGGAGCGTTTGTGTGTGTCAGCAGCATGCATGAGGTATCTCTGCTTGTGAGTGAAGGTGTGTGCATGCCTGTGTTTGAGTGAGAGTTTTGTGTGTCTGTGTATGTGCAGGGTTAAGGAGTGAGAGTGAGAAAGTTCAGATAATCATGCTGGTGAAACCTAACTTAATGATGTAAATGTCTTTTCTTTATGCTGTATACACTGCATGTCTTACGTATTCGGATTAGGTACAAGGGCACCAGTGGTGGATGTAAGATATTTTACAAAGGCAAAGCAGTGCACATGCGCAAGTGACAACTGCTGGCTGTGTGCAGCACCATTTCACTCTGAAACTCACAGCTGGCTACTCACAGAAGCTCAGCAGGTGTGAGCCTGGCCAGTATCTGGATGGGAGACTCCTGGAAAAGCTAAGGTTGCTGCTGGAGAAGGTGTTAGTGGGCGCTCACCCTGTGGCCTGCATTGGTCCTAATGTCCCAGTATAGTGATGGGGACACTACATTGTGAAAAAGACATGGTCCTTCGGGTTGAAAGTGAAACCGAGGTCCCTGCCTCCACACACTTGGGAGATTGAGAAAGTGCAGGTAGACTCCTCCTATTGCCTATTGCTAACACATCACAGGTAACACAGCCCTACACCGGAGGCTCAGTGGTGACAGAAGGAGAGGCGCGTCCCTCACCGACAGCAACACATGCCTGCAAACACCCAGGAGGCCACAGGAGTCACTGGCACTCAGAGTCCTGGCCTGCTGATCCCACTCCTCCCTCACCGGCACTTGGCCAATGACACACTGCTGCTTGGGCTAGTACCCCGAAGGAGGCTCGAACCCAGGACCGCGGAGCTCGACCTACACTGTAGTCGAGCCACGATACTGTTCTACCTGTCCCCATTAGTGGGGGACACTCGACGTTCCCGGCACCGACACTCTTTGTTCCTGTCCTCTCTGGGACTGGACAGGGCCTCCCTGATGTGCGTCGTCGTGTGGGTCATGTTGAATTGTGACTGCCGCGGCTGTTCTCTTGTGACATGAACCCAGCGACGAAACGCCAGGGGGAGAAGGGGGTGAGAGAGAGGGAAGAGGGGCAGACCGCATGCTGGGGTCCCGAGGCAGAGCTCAGGCCTGGCAGGAGCTGTGGGAGGCAGAGGGAGAGCCCTGAGGGACAGAGGCAGGCTCAGAGATGGGACTTGATTCAGAAAGAGGGGGAGCTTGCAGAGAAAGAGAGGGTGAGTAGGGGGTGGAGAGGAGAGATTAATAGGAGAAAGAGATCAGAGGAAGGTTGTCTCTGGGTGGGTTTAAGTGAAGGGGACTGGCTCTCTCCTGTCTGCTCAAAGGTGATTGGTGCGGCTAGTCTCAGCGGTTGACCGAGAGCCGTTGTCATGCCAACAGTAGGAAATGAGATTCCGGTCTGATTAAAGGGAGTGCTTCTATGGCAACAGAGAGTGCCGTGTGCACTGGGAGAGTGGGTTGAGAGATGGAGGAGGTGGTGGTGGTGGTGGGGGTGAAATAAGGGTCGAATTTCAAAGGCAACCTGCCCCCTCCTTCTCCCTCCCTCTGTCTCCCCCTCCCCCTTCTGTTTCACAGTCTGGGCATGGGATCACTCAGCAAAGCTCGCTTCAGAAAAGATTAACTTGTGCAAATAAATTAAAGCCATAAATGACAGACATGGACTGCTACAGTTTCACTTCCCTGTGCTGAATCTCCTCTGTCTCTGGTGCTACAGCGTTAGACCACAGACCAGAGGAAACAATTATGGAGGCTAGATGGGCTGTTTGCATGTATGGCCATGTTTCTGTCTGCACGACTGCATCTCTATGTGTCTGTGTGTGTGTGGATATTTGCATTCTTGACTGTTGATTTCCAGTTTTCACTCCCGTGCTTAACCTTAGAAGATCAAATTTAAATCTGCCTTCTCTTAACAACAATACATTTGAAATCAAACATTTTGCGCATAGCTGAACTTAAAATCTGGTGGATCACTTTAGTACAGCTGTGAAACCCGTAAAACATATAAGAAAATCTTGTGAGGTAATATTTCTGACTCCTAAACAACTTATGAGTTTCAGTTTTCCAATACAATATACCTACAACTCAGCTTGCATGGTATAACACAAGTCAAGTAACACAGTAGTATCGAGAGAAACCACTGCTTTTAAGTAGATTCTGAATGGTTCCACCTGGTCCTGAGTTATTTTTGCCACTCTGTTGATTCATCAGTTTTGTCTGTGTTCCAGGCCAACGCAGGCTGACTTGCTTAGTTGGATTAACCTCTGAGAACTGAGCACAGGCTAAGCTGTGTCTGTGAGACAAAAAAAGCCGGGCAGTTCTGTGGTTGCGCTGGGCACAAGTCTGAGAGTCCGAAGTTTAGTTGGACTCTTTTTTTAGTTATCCTTTGTTTCGACGCTGTTTCCCTGTCTACAGTTTCTTTTTAAATCAGATGTATTGTTCCTGCATGATCTAAATCTGGTGTTTGAATAGGAAGGTTAAAATAGCTTTGTGTGTATAAACATGTAAATATAGACTCGCACAGCCGCCACCAAACAATAGCTGCTTACAGAGCTGTCCCCCAGCCCTGCCAGGCTGTGTAAACTGCTGCCTGGCTCGCTTTCTTTTTTAATGGAGATGACTGAATGTGGAATTTAACATTTTTCGGTTTTTAACCAGAGGCATAATTTTGCAAAGCAAAAATGGCACTAGGACCTTTTGAGATTTTTACAGCTGACATCTGGTTGGCTTGAGACCTGCTAAAGGCAGCCAATGTGATCACAGGCAACGATGAGATCAGATTATTCTGGAGGCAAAACCCAGTCTGTTAGATGGGAAAAAAAACACAATATATTAACTGTAGGTTAATGTATAACAGTCAATTAAATAACTGTCTAAGCTACTGTAAGCTCTATTCATCAGAAGCTGGAATAATAATTATTTGCTCTGAGGGAACTTTTCAGGTCAAAAGTTTCCGACAGATACAGATACTGTATTTTTTTTTTCTCTTTCCGGAGAAGCTCAGGGGTGAGGAATAAATTGAGGTGCCGCTGTGTTCCTGCAGGGGGAGCTCCATTGTGAAGACGGCTCTCTGGTCCGAGTCTTTGATTTCCTGAGTCGGCGAACCACTGAGCACAAAGTCGACATCGGAGCACTGGAGGACCTTGGCTTGTGGGGTCATGGGGGAGCTGACTACCACCTCATAGACGGCTTCATCTCCGCTGTGGCTGTAAGTACCAGGCACAATCGCCGTGCCGCTGAGAGAGAAGCACTCCCAGCTGTGGCAGGCTCACTGCCATAACGAGCCATGGTCATTCATCGAACACATCGGACTGCAGAGTGCTTGAGGCCTGCATTGCGGTCGTAGAACGAAATAATATAGCGCCTTTACAACACCAAAGCAATACAGCAGGGAAATCCCACTGTCCAGCACAGGGACAATCCCAAAGAGAGTTATAAAGTAAAGCTTAATGCTGGTGTGGTGAAATATAGTCAGTACAATGTCAATGCAGTCAAGTGCATACGCAGTAGCACTAGCTCTGTAGTCCGCAGTGTGTCCTGTCTGTGTTTGTGTGCAGAGTGGCGACACTTCCCTGATCCTGACCGGCCCAGAGGAGACCCTGGCCAGTCACAGACTGGTGTTCGAGGCAGAGCGTGCACGCAGGGAGGGCCGAGTCGTCTTCTGTGGATCGGACCAGGACTAGGAGAACAGCCCTGGACTGTCCCAAAGTACTGTGAGCCGCAGAGGAAGAGCTGGCAGTACAAGGGCTGTAGGGACACCCTAGGGAGCTGTCTGTAGAGGTATGATGCCTCATGCCCATCTGCCTGCTAGAAGACAGTCCTTCAAGACAACTGGAGCTGTAAATCCATCTTTTATATCCCAAAGTGAGCAGTTACCAACACAGGGGTTACTCCTCTGGACCTCATAAAGCTGATTATAATGGAAACATAACTATTTACAAGCAAACAAACCGAAAATAACTGTAGCACATGAACTTGCCTATATCCTCCTACAGCTGTAGGCCAGAGAGGAAGTAAAAACACTTCTTATTATTCAGTTATTTAAACTCCCGCTGTCCTCCCACCATCTAAACTATTCATTTAACATTTAAAAAATACTGACAGGACTAATTGCTTGCATGTAATTATAGAGGTATACTCACAACAATATATAATATTAAAACATGTAGGCTTTAATTAATGTACTCATATCCCTAATTAGTAGTAATTTAAATTCATACTTCAATAATAAAAAAGTGTTTCCAGTGTTTAATATAATGCATATTCCTATTCTAATATTTCGAGGAAGACTGAGACATTTGCATCCACATACTGTATACCTACTTAACTTGAAGTCTGCTGACAAGCATTCTGCATTCATCCCAGCCGGTGTTTAGCTGGACTCTATTTTTTAAATTCACTCACAGTGACGACTTTTTCTCCCATTGTGTTTTGAACACTAAGAGAAAAAGATATTACTTTATGGAAACGGGCATTAGCTTATGGAACACACTACTATTGATCCTCAGGTAACTTCCTTGAACAAGAGCAGAGGGATGATAGCATATTGTTTTCATCACTGCTAGAGGCTGGAGGAAAGGAGGTGTCAGAAATGTTTAGAAAGAACTTCATGTCACAATATTTTCAAGTCCAAGCCACACTTTTGTTACAACTTCAATACAATGCAGAAATGTTTTATTTTTTCACAGAGAAAAAAAAACATCCATATGTTCTATATATTTAGCATGGGTGTTTATAAGGGATTTAAAAAAAATCAAACTATTGCATGGTTGAATGGGATCAATGATGTCATTCATTGTACAATCACAGAACTATTTTAATGAACTTTTAAAAAAATCATTGAGCTCTTCTAGATTTTGTTGTTTCTCCTCAAGTATAATATAATAATATATAATATTATTTCAGTAAGTTTCACTTCATAGGACCAAGAAAGATTTATGAAATTAAAAGATACTTTGAATTTTAAAAACAAGACGGGCAATGTTTGCGTTTTAATTTTTAATATCTGTCACATGTTTTTACATAGATAACAGAAGTGTAACAGTCTTAAGGCAGAATACAGAATACTTGAACCTGATTAGACACTGACTACATGTTACAACAAGCGCACGGTAATTACATACTCATATAACTCAACTTTTATGTGACATTCCAGTCCTCTGTTTTTACTGTACGCACTGTATATAAAATATGTGGAATCTTTCAGATTTAATGCTGTTAATTAAAAAAATTAAATGACAAATTTCATGTGTGATGATGGAGGCTGTACAGATGGATGCAGGCATGGTGATAAAGGTTATTGAGTTCTTTTGGCAGAGTACAGTACCACAACCATTGTGTTTTCTTGACATTGATTTGTAACTAATTGCTCCTTTTTCATAGCTCAAATTCTAAATAATATAAAGCATTTTAAAAATATTTCTGTGCTTGACTCTATTTTATGATTTGGTCCAGGATGTCTTTGCCTTTATTCTGTCCGTGAGATCAGATAGGCTGCAGGTCTATCCGGACTGAAAGCACAGCTGAAGCTCTGCTGCCCTCTACTGCTAGAGAGCTGTAACATCTAGACAGCAAGCAAGTGTCGGTCACAACAAATTTCTTTTTTTTTTTGCTCGACGTATTACTAAATGTCTTTTAATGTGTATTTAATTTAATTTAGTGGTGGTGAAGTTGGTCAGGGAGAATGAGGAATTACTCCATCCCTAGGTAAACAAGGGGCTGGTCCAATCACCATGCGAGTTACTACTTTAACACTGCCGGCAGAAGTTCACAGCTGTGCCACACTGCCTGACCTCTGAATTCTGACAATGACCATGCTTGTTTAAAGGCTGTGATCTGTTTAGGGCTAAAAAAATTGACCAATTTCACACCCACCAGTTCTGACCTACAGGTTTGATGGTTGTGCTGTAATGTTTTTCATTGCTATCACAATTTTGAGACGAAGAAAAGGTATTGGTATTTTTGGAAGCATGTTTGGGAGCCTTGGTGGAGATTATGATAGAAGACAGGTTGTTCGTACATTAAGGTTTTTCTGAGAATCAGGATTGGCATATGAATCCAAGCACTGGAGACAGAAGAGTTTCCCTGTGTGTAAGGGGTGTAACAGTCTGGGCTGGTCATGAGGCATCATAGCATAGTAGATCACAACATGTGTGGATCTAATGCGTGAAGAGATGCTGAAAGACATGCTGCTTCCCACTTCAGCTTTAGGCCTCTTGAGAGCGCCTCTTTGTGGTGGAGGCCACATTTATTTTGGAGGCTTTGACCTCCTTTCCTCCTTCAGGGCGACTGGCTTTCTCCTTCTGGAGTACCTGGGGCAAAACACAGCACAGCTCACTGACCGCGGTATAACAGGGTACATCTCACAGAGCTAATGTGGTAAAAATCACAACACATCTCACTGGCTAACTTGGGTGAGACAGTGCTGAGTGTGCTGGTGTTGAACTATAGGCAGCGTGCTGTTGAGAGTAATCTCACTCACCCCTTTCATTATTCTCTGGCGCAGCTCTGCCCGGGTCAGTGGTCGTTCCTCCTCATCTGTGAGTAGTGACTCTTCTGTGTCATAGTCCTCCCTGGCTCGCACAGAGAAATAGCATTACATGCAATCAAGAGCAGTTTTGCATACATTGCTGAGGTATGCACATATCCACATATACAGTAACAACAGCTTCAGACTTTCTTTATAGATGAGATCAGAGCCTTGGACACATTACACACTGCGGTGAAAGATCCTCGTGAAAACAGACAGGATATATTCACACAAGTCACATTCATTCTGACACTGTCCAGTGTTTCTGAGCCTGAATGGATTAGATGGGGATAGGTACATACCCAGTGGAGGGTGGCTGGATGGACAGGTTCTGGATGGGAAGTTCTGGGCTCTGACCTAACAGGACACGAGCAACTTCTTTGGGGTCATAATCTTTTTCGTAGTCCTGTAGCAGAGGAGGCAGTAATGAAACAAATTATACAGCATATATGTTTGCAGACAAAGAGTAAAGGTGATCTGCATATTTCACTCCCTGCAATATGTGTGTACAAGTCTGGTCGATGTCAGTCTGTAATTTTTTGGATGCTCGTTTGTGTTGTACCTTTGTTTGTATTCAATTCTGTGTGTGTGTTTGATCTATCTGTGTGGGTTTGCTTATGAGATGTCAACAGGAACTTGTAATTAGTGAGGAATTTCACTGTCAGTGTATCTGTGCTTGTGTGTATGTTAGCATTTTGCGCCACTTTTCTATGTACAATTTATAGCAAGGATTGCCCAATCTGTACTGTGGGGTGTGGAATCCAAATCCAGAAGGTTTCTAATCTAACTTTGTTTAGTTTAACACTTCTTGCAGATGAGGGGATGAAGAGCTGTTTATAGTTTAAGACAAAATGGAAAGCCTGCTAGATTCAGGATCGTGATAGCCACAGATGGTGAAACCTTCAATGGAGTGCTTGGGGCCTGGTTACCTTAGAACTGAGGTATGACTGGACAGTCAGCAACTCATTGGCTTTCTGCTCCACTAGTCCCAGGTATGTCATGATGTTGGTGTCTCTGATCCCAGCAGAGGATCCCAGCATGTCCTCAATCACTGAGCGATCACAGTCGATTTTACTGAATACAGCACCAATTCCTACAGCACAGCAAAAAATACAGTGAGACACTTAAGGCACTTTTACATACTGAAACATCACATGATAACACAGAAGCTTAACAGTTTCTGAAAGAAACATCCATTCAATACAAGTCCTGACCCATTCCCTTCTAATATCTTCCTAATATTTTAATATCAGTTGGTCCCTGTCTCATAGTATCCCGTCTCATACGCCTGGTTCTCGGTAGAGTTTAAAGTGATTTTATCTTTTTAACCACTCTGAATTATCTCAGTTCCTTTATAGAGAGCACTGTGACTGAACAGCCATTGCTACCTGTCTTGAGCTGGTCCAGGATCTTGCTGACTTCTGTGGCTCGGAGTTCATAGCCCTGTGCTTGCCCTTCTGCATTTTGTTGTTGCTGCTCAATGTCCTGCAGAAGTGCTTTGTGCTCCTGCTCCAAACGCAGACCCAAGGAACGGAACTGCGCCATTTCCTGCTGGATCTGACAGACAGCACATCCCTCACACATAGGGCAAACCCAGCCACAGTGCGCTACTGCACATTTATGTGAATGGCATTGTTAAACTAAAGCAAAATCAGAGTCTAGTGCATATTGATCATATTAAACTTGTCCTAACGCATCTGAGTACAGGTTAAATTATTTATTTAAGTAAATATCAATAGTAACAGACATATGCTGGTTATGATGTGAAGGCAATAGATTATTGATAAAATAATGACATTTAAGGATGGGCTGCTTATTTGAGAGTGAGTCTTACATGCACTTATGCTGCATACAAAGCATTAAGATTCAACATCACACAAGAGACTAGATCCATACTTGAAACAATAAGCAGAAGAGTGGATAAGACTGACATTTAGTAAAAAAAACATAGTTATAGGAAGATTGCAAAAGTCCCAGAATGATTTTGGATTTTGAGTTCAGCTCTATGGTGTTCCTGTCTGAAGAGGAGTGACAGTCTGGCCAGGAAGCCTAGGAAGTCTGAACCCCCCAACCCCCCATGACCCCCAAGAGATGCTGCATAAGTGGTACTGAATCAGGTGGAGGAGGACGTTACTGCAATGAATCCTGGGACAGATTGGCCTAGACTCTATCTTGCTCTCAAAGATTTGATTCAAGCTCCAGTTATGAAGGAGGGCTTGAAGGGAAAACAAACTGAGGATGCTGACAATCTACACACACTATGCAAAGGTTTTAACTGTTCTGTTTTCTGTTGCCTAGTCCAGGGTGGGCTTGGTAAAGGGAAGGAGCTTTCCTGCAGCTCACCTGTTTGATTTGGTCCTGCAGCATCTCTGCTTCATTGTTCTGTTCGTTTACGTAATTGAAGAGAGCGAAGTTCCGATCTTCAACTACACGTACAGACAGATGGTACAGATGGTTAAAAATCATAAAAAGCATTACTAAGAAAACTGGCCTGAGCTTTTATTTACCTGACAAATTTCAAACAAGTGCGAGGAGCAGCATTTGTCCGTTTATCTGGATTTTGCCTCTGAGAAAGTCCAAAAACCCTCTCCAGTCGTGACGTGTATACACTCACCCTCGATGAATCTCTTCACCAGTACTTCCAGGTCCTTCTCTCCGGTTACATTGTAGATCTTGTGGAAAGCTTCCTCCAGGGATTCTGCAGTGTCCTGTCCTGAATCAGCCTTCCTGCGCTCTTTCTCTTCCGCTGTGGACACAGAGATTCCCCCTCCTCGATTAATTCTGTGTACCATCCCAGCACCAGCATGCTGCTGTGCATGGACAGTACCTCTCCCATTCTGGCATGTCTGGTGTCCTGTTTACAAGCCTGAGCTGGCTGTGCCGTGGGTTTGTGTATCTGTGTGCTGTTGTCAGTGTTTCAGTACCATTCACAGTGTTTCTCTGTGTGCAGCACCCTCCCCTTTCAGTGACTAAGACGGGATGTGCAGGCGTGTCTGACCCTGCCTGCGGCTGGGGTCCTGGCCCTCCTCTTGGCCGTTCCTCTCGTGGCTCTTGGTGTTCATGAACTCCTTAAGCCGGCGCTCGTGTGCGATGACTCTCTCCAGCTCCTTCATCTCGGCGGTGTACTGGGCCAGATCTTTCACTGCCTTCTCCTTCAAGAGCACCATCTTGGACTGGGCCTCCACCCTGACAAACAGGTTCACTGTCAGTTCGTACTGCTCAGCCTGACACCCTTTGCACCTTCACCTGCACATAGCCAGAGGTTCAGCGTACAGTATTCATCCTGATCCAACACTGTGCACGTCCAGTGTGTGGTCAACACTGAATTTCTGCTACATTAATGGATTCATAGGGTTAGCTTTCATTCTGTATATACTAGGACACATATCAATTAATTGCAGAGCAACTCTAGAATATAAAGCAGTATTCTGCCCTCTGGGTGCAGTACGAGATCAGTATTGTAAATGGTATTTTTTACCTGGCATCATAAGCTGCAGTGGAGGTGTCAATCATAGCCCCGATCTCCTTGCGGATCTCATTGAGCTCCTGAAAGAGACAGCACAGCAGCAGTGAGACCTGCGCTAACACCGGCACCTAACTCATCCCTGCCTCTCAGCATTTCCTTTTTGTATACGTGCAACCTTCACATACAACACTTTGCATAAAAGATTACAACTCACAAAATAGCTTTTTAACAGTCTAGTGCTGGAATTTGTAAATTTGTAACTGTTTAATTCTGCCACCTTCAAATCAAAGCAGTAGATGATCAGTATTTAAAAAAATAAAATGAATTCATTTCATAGCAGGAGAATTGTCTGTTTCAATGTAAATATTTTCTACTGACTCAGTCCTTAAAACCATATTCCATTAGGGCTGACAACGAGTTGAAAAACTTGAGGAAATAAGCTACTATGCTAAGCCTGTTTTTAGTTCAAATAAAATGGGGGGTGGGCATTGGGTATTCTTCAAAAAGGGACATATGATCTAAAGGAAAGTCATTTGACGTTCTAATCCTTGTTGTTGTTTTTCCCAATTGTTCCAGATTCAGTAGAGGGTAGCCAGGGTATTGCTGTACCTTGTCCAGTCTGCGGTACAGCTGCTGGAATCTGGCTTTCTCCACTCGCAGTGTGTCCAGCTCCTCTCGCAAATGGCCGTTCTTGGTCAGCTGCTCGTTAAACCGGGTAAGAGCCTGCAGGAATAGTCATGCAGCCTGTTTCATAGCTTCTAGCTGTTCAAACTGTTATTTAAAGGAAAATGAAACTTTGACCCAGACTGCAGCAAATGCAATGTAACCTTCACTCAGCAGTGCAGGAAAATCCATGTTGGTATCTGAAAAACTCAAGAAGTACTGTCGCAACATCAGGCAGACCTGTCAGAATTCTCCAGCTACTCGTTCTTTCAGGGCACGATTTGGCATTGTCTTGGGACCCTGAATTGTGAAAGGAATGGCTACTTGGCATATATACCACTGCTTAAAGAAACCAGCTGCCCCGAGTGCTGGAGGTGGCTGGAATGGGCCTTCAAGTCGCTCACCCGGTCCAGTTTGTTTTCCAGGGTTCGGCAGGCTTTCAGGGTGTGCAGGGGCTGAGGTCTCTGGGCCTGGGTCGCACTGGGCCCTCCTCTTCTCTGACTTCCCAGCTTGCGCTCCAGCTGGAGGATCTGTCACCCGTGGAAACGTAGGACAAGTACAATGGTGAGTTTGCCCAAAATCTACTCTGCTGCTCTGGTCTGATATCGTGATGCATCAGTGTTGTACTATTGACTGCCATTCGCCAGTGCAGTACTGTTCTCTTTCAGTATGCAAATAACATGTACCACTACTACGTGACTGTACTGTTGGTGTTGTAATATGCCTTTAATGTGCAGTCCTGAACTCTGTGAGGCCTTCTGTTCTTTGATTCCTTTCATGTGTTGTATGGTAAGGGTTTATAGCTCCAGTCCTCAAGTCTGTAATGCCTTCTGACTTCATTTCACCCCACCTATTCAATGACTTATTGTGCTAATTCTTATTTACTTCAATGGGTGTGTTTTACCCTTTTCCCAGCCCTTGTGTAACTGATGATTTAAAGTGTAAATCTTCCGGGACGAAAGCACTCAGGACCCACAGTCTGCTGTTCAGTGGTGTCCTGAGTGACACGTCTGTGCAGCGCCATTATTGCGGGGTACCTCTTGATCCAGCTGCGCGAGTGTGTGTTTCTCTCTGGCCAGCTGCTCCTCCAGCTCGTCGTGCTTCCCCAGCTTCTTGCGCAGGCCCTGTGTGATCTCCTCGTCTCGCTGGCGGTTCACACGGCTCTCGGACACCTGTAGGCTTCTCTGCAGCTCCTCGTGCTCCTGCTGCAGCTTCTCCATTTCTGCCCTGAGTGCCCAGAGCAGCACACCATATTGTCATGATATGACTGTACGCTATTTATTGTGTTAGTTGAACATGTATGATTTATACCTGTTTTTTTTTCAATGTATATTCAAAGCTGCTAAGAGTGTGGAATGCATAGGAATAGTGCAAGAAAGTTTATCAGGGAACAGCATTAGACGCTGTTCTGGAGCCTTTTGAGCACAGTGCATATTCATCTGTGCAACACTAAATTACTTTTCTGTTACAAACCTTTTTATCCTATGTTGAGGAGCTTACCCACAGTTGGTTAGCACAGAAATAATAAATAAATAGGACTGCAAAGCACAAGGTCTAAATGCAGGGTTTGCAGGAGGTGCAACAAGTAGGAAAAGAAAATTCAAGAACACCATGCCATAAAGCCTACTTTTTTGTTACTGCAGTGAAAACAGAGATTAAATCGGCCGTAAAGATTTCAGTCTTATTGATATAAGTATTGAACAGAGCGGTCTGCATGATTAACTTCTGAACTTGAATACTGATTTTTTTATGGAGGTCTTTCCAAAAAACAAAAGTGCAAAATGACCTGGTAATAAAACACTATAGAATAGAATAGACTAATAGAACATGGGGCTGAGCGTAAGGTTGTGCACTGGGAGTGTGTGAAGGGGACAAGCCCTGAGGCACTTACAGCTGCCTTCGGATTAAGTCCTGGGACTCGATGCCGTAAGCCTGCCGGTCTCCCTCCATGATGCGGAACTGTCTCTGCAGTTTGGCCAGCTCTGTCTCTGCTGCAACACATCCACAAGCACACTGACCCACCTGCTCGGCCTTCTCACCCACAGCACGTTACGGTTCATGTTTCAGGCACTTCTACCACAGAAAGCAGAAGAAATGTTTTGCGGGATGGTTTTGCTTTAAAGTTGCTTTTCCAAGAATTCCCAATACCATAACATGAAAGAGGCTCACATTCAGCCTTTCCAAATATAGTGCATTTTTAGGGCGGTGGTCTAACTAAAATATTTGGTTTTAATTTTAGGACCCAGAGCTGTGAGGCAAGAGTGTTTTCCACCATGCAATCATTGTATTTTAGTACAAAATGAAAAATGTTGTGTGCCATGTACAGTTTAATGTCATGGTGTATATTGTAGTCATGTAGGCCCTTGAACTATAAGCAATTTTGTCAAACCAAGAAGCACTGCAGGCACAACTCATACCGATCCCATCGATGTCCATCTCACTGCTGTCTGAGTGTATACTGGCAGCTGATCGTCCCCGAGGCATGGTCTTCTCCTCTTCTTCCTGTAGAGGGAGACAGAGAGGCAGTGGCAGAGGGAGGGTGGAGGGATGAAGAGAGCACCGTTTGAAAAGGACAGAGGAGCAGAGAAAAGATCAAAGAAAGATCACATCGCAGTTCACAATGTGATATCAGTTTACTACATAATACTTTCTCCAGACACATCCCTGTTTTCTTAAGGAAATCAGCTACTATATACAATATATTCATGTAATGTCTCACAATCAAATTGAATTACATGACCATGTATATAATAGTAATAATTCCTTACACTTGCATAGCACTTTTCTGGACACTCCACTCAAAGCGCTTTACAGGTAATGGGGATCCCCTCCACCACCACCAGTGTGCATCCACCTGGATGATGCAACGGCAGCCATAGTGCGCCAGAACACTCACCACACACCAGCTCTCAGTGGGGAGGAGAACAGAGTAATAAAGCCAATTCATAGATGGGGATTATTAGGAGGCCATGACTGGTAAGGGCCAATGGGAAATTTGACCAGGACGTTGGGGTTACACCCCTACTCTTTTCGAGAAATGCCCTGGGATTTTTAATGACCAGAGACCTCGATCAAGACCTCGGTTTTACATCTCATCCGAAGGACGGCGCTTTTTTACAGTATAGTGTACACATCATTATACTGGACATTTGGACCCACACAGACCGCAGGGTGAGCGCCCCCTGCTGGCCCCACTAACACCTCTTCCAGCAGCAACCTTAGTTTTTCCCAGGAGGTCTCCTATCCAGGTACTGACCAGGCTCACACCTGCTTACCTTCAGTGGGTTGCCAGTTGTGAGTTGCAGGGTGACATGGCTGCTGGCTGCTGTATATACATAACTTATGATATATTCTTATTTTCTAGTTGCTCTATAGTGATCTTTAAACTTTGAAGCATGTACTGTTAAAGTCACATAAATAAAATATCAGCTGTAGTACCGGAGTCAAACGATAGAGAGCAATGTGCCCCAAACTTTAGCCAGGGTGCAGTGAGTTCAAATTTTTGTAACCAAAGGGTAGAAAGAGGAACCTTGTTTATTACGAAACGTTTTTTACGTTCTCGGTCTCTCGTGATAACTTTTTTATTGTCCGATTTCATTCTTAGAAAAACACCTCATAACAACAATAACATGTTCTTCAAGTCACCGTCTCTGTGCAAACCTCTTGGTTTCTCTTGGTATTGCAGTAGTACATATGGACAGAGGTGTACTACATGCATGGTGCGTGTCATCTTTAACACCCGAGAATTTCAGTCATGCTAAGAACGTCAGTATAAAATAGCTGAATTTATCATACCATTTCATAATCGATTTGTACTTCAAGTTGAGCACCAGAACTATTAAACCTGCAGACATGAGCCAATAAACAATGTGGGCTGATGATAAGGTTCTTTGCTGAGCTGAACATATATTGGAAAGTATACCATGTTTGTTTTTAAGTATTTCTATCGGTGCTCAGTTGGGATCTTTTTGATTGATGTATCAATACAGCCTTGTTTGTTTAAAAGCAATCAGTTTTATCGCTGGCTTTCACGGTCTATTATTAAGAACTGACTACTCTAAACAAACCAGTATCTGGAATCAGTTTAATGTTCACAATACAGATAAGGAACAAAACAATACTTCAGAGATGACAAATGCAATGCTAATACACAACACAAGTCGCCTGTATATATCGCTACAAGATAACATTTACTTAGAAATATAGGCTTGTTCATTATAATTGCAATTAATTTTCAAACTGTATATTTAGATGCAAGGTGATACTATGACGAGTCAGGTACTGTATTTTCCATGCGGAAGTTTACCTTTAAAATTCTCATTGCAGTGCAGTGAATATCAATCTGCATATTTAATATCTGAAGCCGAACTGCTCATTTGTCAATTTACGACAGCATAAATAATTTGCAGCATTACAAAAAGCCTGCATTTATAGATTCAGTGAGGCCGTCGGTGTTCCCGTGCAATTTAATGCCATCAACAACGGAAAGAAAACCAGTAATGTATTTATTACCTGTCTGTGGTAGATGAAAGTTATATTGCTTCCCGTGGAGTGCCGTTGCTTTTTTATTATGATTTTTATCGGGACCACTATCTAATTTACAGCGGTGCTGTCGTCCTGTTCCTCTTGCCTGCACTTCCAAGTTGTTAGCAACCGTCTCCAGGAAGAGATGCTGAGCCAGTCTGTAGCTGGCGGTCGGCCAGTTATGGCCGCTGTGTTACAATTTGGGGAAGAGTTTACACACGCGTTAAACCTGTTTTTACGTAAAGGACATTTGACGCAGTGAAGCGAAAGACTGATACACATTTCTTTATTCGTTTATCCTTTATTCCATAATAGTATATAACTGTGAATGAACGAGAGACCTCCTGTACGATATGCAGTATGCTGGCAGTTGCTGCAAAATTTCTCGCTTTCACAAATAGTTCTAGCGTTACTTTCAAGTCGTTGAGAGTGCGAAAAAAATAAATCTTAGATCTGAGATGTTTCGTGTTAAATTGTTTTTACTCGTGGGCCATTTGTCAGTGATCTGTTGAAAGTTAAGTTTTTTCACGTTCCTACACTTGCCATACAGTTCACGTTTAAAACTTAAATCTCTTATGTTTCTGGGTACATTGAATATCAGTTTTGAGTTTTTGAGACCTCTCCGGCTGCATCAGCAAAATCTATTTAACAAAACTCAAACATCCGACAATGAAATAATAAAATATGCATATGATAAACAATGTTATGGAGCCAGAAAAACAGCTAATAGTGCTGTGAATGTAATAAGAATGAAGAGGTTTATTCATTACAAACCAGGATAAACTGAGATTGTGAATGCCCTGAAGTGAAGCATTAATCACAGAATAACAGCAGACTACAAACTGTATAAAACTACAAATAAATATAATTGTTTATATTTTATACATGAGAAGAATATCTTTTAAGAAAGAAATATAAATGAACAGTTCTTCGGGCAAACTGTTAGGGCAGGACAATGATATGCAATGTCAGTGCTGTTTACCCAGGAGTGACAGCAGAAAGGACCAGTTCAAGTGGTGTGAGGAGATCTACTGCTCCTGGCCGTCCTGGGGTGGGGGGGCACCTTCAAGGTAGGTGCGGAAGTAGTCCACGGTATTGAGTTCAGGGTGAGTCAGCAGCAAGTGGCATTTTGGGAAAAAATAAGCTGCCACCAGACCCAGATTACTGAGCAGGATTGCAGCCATCTGGGCCAGAGATTTGTTCATCTCCCCCAGGCCCGTGTAGATAGGGATGAAGACCACCCACACCACACAGTAGGCCAGGGTTGAGAAAGTGATGTCCCGGGCCAGGTTGTACTGCTTGGCGGGCTTCTGGGCCATGAAGGTGCACATGAAGGAGATGAGAGCTAGCAGGCCGTTGAAGCCGTACATCAGGCCGAAGCCCACCATGGGCTCCACTTCGCAGCGCAGGAAGGTCTCCACGAAAGTTATCCTCATCCTGGACACGTACTCGCTCAGAGGCCTCCCCTCCTGCACAAACCAGCCGCACAGCCCTGCCTGCACACTGCACAGCGTCAGGACCACCATCCAACTGCCCGGCCCACGCAAAGAGTCCAGCCGAGAAGGGGTCACCCCCGGAAACTCTGTCACATAGATCACCTACAGGGGGAGAAGGGAGGGGGTGGTACAATGAGGGTGGCTTGCAGCTTAATAACAGCATCGACGATGATGCAGGACACTTACTGGACTATATCATTCCTCATTTTATTCGATTACATGACACCACATATGATATTAGATGGCTATTTATTATACAGTATTGTGCTTGCATGTCAACATTGGCTACTCTGATTGCCCAGTAATGTATAAAGTGAATCCTTCCATTGTGCTTTATTTGGCTTTGTTAAATAAGGATGTCAACCACCTTGGCACATCCTGGAAAGAAAGGAGTTGACTCCAGGTGTTCACAGAGTTAGGTTTAAGATGCTCAGGCCAGGTTAGCCCCGCAGTGTTTGCGGGTGTCTGTGCCTTACCTGTAGTGAGATGGCTAGGATGATAGAAAGAGCCACAGCAGGGAAGAAAGCATTGAAGGGCTGCTGCAGGCGGCACACTGCATCACCCGGCTTGCCCAGGAACAGGGACAGGCTGGCGCAGCCTCCTGTCAAGCTGAGCAGGGCCACCCCGCAGAGAGGTCCCCCCGAAGCCTGCACCAGGGGGGTCCCCCGGTGTCGCAGGAACAGCACGCCCACTGCCGCCTGGCCCGCCAGGACGAGCACCGCTCCCAGTATCAGCCCTAGGGACTCGTACTGATTCCATTTCAGGTAGTGATAGGTGGGGTCTGTGCACCTGGTGCTCCTCAGGGTAGACCACTGGCGGTCAGGGCAGTCCGTGCATTGGAAGTCCTCTGTCAGCAGAACGAGATGGACAGAGAGGAGTGGAAGGGCAAGGGCGTGATGGAAAGAGGAAATGGAGATGGGGTTTAGAGAACACAAGAGTAAAAGGAGTGAGCTAGCTATATAATTCCTTGCAATGACATATTGCTTTTCATTCCAAAGGATGACAAAACACTTTACATATAGGTGGCGACCCTATTCATCCACCACTGAAGTGCAGAATCCATGTGGGGGACACTCATCCACCATTCTGGTGCAGCATACAGTAGGTAATACAGCAGATACAGCAGGTATGCTTGCAGATACCTCGGCTATTTTGTAGACACAGCTGGATGAGATCATTGGTTTAGCAATGATCAATTAGCTACTAAGTTACCCAAACTGGAAGAACCAAATGGCCCCCTCTCTTTTGCAACCTTTCTTACATTGTTATGATAAGTAACAAATTACTTTCTTGTGATTTCTAGAGTGTTGCAAAAGCTCCTTTATGTTATCATGGTGGATTTAGGGGGTGAGGTTAATCTTAACTCAGTATGACTGTTACCTTCATTAAGATGATCTAACTCAGTATGATCCTCACCCCTTTATTTACAGATTTGTAAAGATATGTTTTGTTGTTCTCCTTCAGGAAGTGTTTATTATGTGTTTTAAGGAGGCCGTGTTGACTTCTGCACAGTAACAGATTACTGGGAGGCCAAGAGAGGGGGATAGTGTCTACCTACTGTATTATCTTTCAAAACCATCCATGTAAACCACTGGACATACCGGTGTTGTTCTGGAAGGTGCCCTCCTTGCAGTCGATGCAGTCGAAGCAGCAGGAGTGGAAGCCCTTCACCCTGCGTACCTGTCCGGCTGTGCAGTTTGGGGAGCAGGTGGAGTTGGGGACCTGCAGACAAGCCCCAGGGACGAGAAGGGAAAGGGCAGGGGTCACACTGGCTGCCACCAAGGCATCTGTAGTCACAATGTCGGAGTAATCAATCGCGTTAAAATTAATCTCTGATAGCAGTTACTTCAACATAGAAATGGAAATGACAGGGATAAAGTTATGTTACCCAGTGTTACTGCAACAGCTACTGTAGTTCCACTAGTTGTAATTCATATATTTTTGATAGAAATGCACTCAAGTGACAGTGGGAACAGTTTGACAGACTTTTCTGGGACACCTATTACTGATTATAAATAACAGAGTGGTAATAGAAGGCCATTATTAAAGGTAACTCAATTTCTGAGGAAGCAAACATCAATAGCTGAATAACAACAATGGTAAAGGAAATAATACACAGATTAAGATCTTCAACAAATATAAAATATCCATAGAGGTAACTGATAAGAGAACGTGCTCAAGATGATCTGCTGGTTGGCACTCTCGGGAGTTGTTAAACAGAAGTTTGGAAAAGGGTCAAATTATAATCTCGTACTGCTTAAATATTGGCTGCCTTCAACTCTGTGCACCTCTCCCACCTCCCCAGCTGCACCCTTACAGGATCTCCTTGGAGAGGAGGGTTGTATCAGCTCTGACCTTTGGCCAGGATTGTCGTGGCTTCATTCAGTGGAGGTTTTTATCCACATGAAATGTTTTCTGAATAAACCCTCTAGTATTGCCCTGGGGATCCACAGTGGTCCTCATTCCCCAGACTGGTAAGATGTGCTTGTTACAGGCCCAGCCGGTGTCAATTGATCCTCATTATTCAATCTCCTCTTCCTTCACTTTTCAAACCCTCCATTAGGAATCTATCCACCTCCTGAGCTTGCATCGTCCTCAAACCTCTGACCACCGACACAAAGACCCTTCTAACCTTGGACCTCTCGGCTACTCCTTTTCATCTCGCCCCTTTTGGATTTGTGTGCCTCGTTGCTTTCTCCACCCGCATTTGACCTCGCCTGGAACTACTGGCCACTCTGCTGCCTCGCTCTTCTCGGACTCGTAAGCCATCGGACTCTCTTAGAGACCCCCTCGGGGGTTCAGAACAACTCGTTCGTAATAGTGCTTGAAAAACACGCTCTCTCATCTCATCTGGGGAGTAGCAGTGCGTGATCAGAGCTGTTTTGCAGCTCGTCGATACAAATGCACAGCAGCAATGCAGGGGTGAAAAAATCCACAGCATGACTGACAAAATCGTTTCGCTTAAACAAAGCCTTTGTTGTTTTGTCTCTTTTACAAATCCACAATAAGCTCAACAGGATGAAATGAAAAGCCCCTGGATTTAGTATTTGTCGTCAAGCATGCATTTGTTATATCTCACTGGGAGTGACTTGTTCTGGATGCTACCTGTGAATTTTCTGTGTGCCAGTGGATCAGGCTCCTGTTCAACACCAGCTTGCCCTCATAGGTGCCGATGTTCTGGAAGCGCAACACATCTCTATCCCAGCGCCACGTCAAGACCTCATACCCAATACTGGGGTTCCCATTGACATCAAACGTGACCTTTGTGTTGTTGATGGTGAAGGACACTTTCTTCAGCACCTCCAGCACCTGTGAGGAGAGAGAGAGAGAGTACGTACAGATATTTCCAGGACACGTGGCCGGTTGAAACACCTGCAGGATGAAAATCTTTGACCCAGCAATGAAGTCTGGTAAGCATGGAAAATGGGACAGAACTGGGTGTCATGGACCATAAACCAGAAGGATTGGCTCAAGGTGAGCTTCACGCATGTCCACAGCTTGCATGCATAGAAGGACATTATATGCAGTCGCTAAAAATGTGAAGTGTGTTCAGTCTCCCGTAGTCCCATTTGTGGGGTCACTGTCTTTCATGGCTCCATACTGAGTGGTTTTCACAAAAGAGTTGTCTAAAAAGGTCAGCTTTCAGCTTCTTTATTTATTAGCACAGTTTTCACATGTCTGTGAAGCTCTGGTTACCCCTGGAGGACTGTGTGTGTTTACGGGTTTATTTGGCAATGGTAGACTTCGACAGCACAGCTCAGGAAATTTCCCTATGCCACAGTAACCTAGAGATTCACAACTTCTTATACTGTCTTCTGTCTTCTGCCGGGCTTGATCAAGTGTGACTAGTCTTACAATTCACTCACTTATTGAGTAAGGTTTTTTTTATTAGGATTGTAAGTTTTATGCCACAACTGCATAAAAATAAAACCTGAATAAAGCAATGGTGTTACACAGAACATTAGGACAGGCAACAATCATAGCTCTTAATATTAGCTAGGGAAATAATTTGCTGCATGTGGCGTGCTAATTGGTTGGAGATACTAGAATATACCACTGTTTTCCTCTTTCAACTAGTCATTGTTTCCAAATTCAGGCCGTACTTCCAAGTAATTCCAGTAATTTTGTCAATGACAACTAATGGCTTCCATGTGCCCCTGTGTACTGGTAAAATGTTTAGCAGGATGCAGATTTCCAGCACAGAACTCCAGCAAATTTGACATCTCGTTAATGATTCATTCTTGAAAAAGACCCATTCTTACCTTTAATAACACAATGATCATCAGCATTTTAAATCTTCTCTATTGATCTGTTAGTGTGATTCAGGCAGATCTTTTCGATCTGTAGGTATGGGCAGTATGAGATCATACGTATAAGTGCTCTGCAGAATGTGCTGTTTCGGAACAGGCTGCTTGATCATGTACCTGCCAGGAAAAGAACTCTGCATCCTTCCTGCGGCAGAGCGTGGCGCTGCAGCCGAGCAGCTGGTGCAGGGCATGGGCCACGCTGTAGACAGAGGAGTACACACTGAAGGCGGTGCGCTGCAGCTGGGGCTCCCTGATCATGGTCATGTTGGCCTGGGAAAGGTTCCAGCAGTCCGGACAGGGCTCTGGGAGGGGGAATTCGGTCTCTGTCGCACTGGGGGAGGTCGGGGGGTCCAGGGAATTCGCCTGCAGCCTTTCCTGCTCCAGAAGGGTGAAGAGCTGCTGGGCGTAGATCTCGAAGTGACTCAGCTGGGTGTTCTTGTTGCTGAAGACCAACAACGTGCCCACTGTTTGGATGCCAGGTATGGTGGTTATGTCTTCGCTTAGAGCCCACGCAGTGCTGCCAATCCATACAGCTTTCATCTTCTTTTGGATCACCTGTGGGAACATCCCATTTTAACTGTCGCAGCCTTTTTCCAGAAGACCAGGATTACGAAGGGCCATACGCTAATAAACGTGGACAGATAATACCAGGGTATTATTGTTACACAGAAGCAATGTGGTGTGGAAAAAGCTTTTAACAGAAGTCCCTATGACCAAGTGTCACTTTGACTTTTTTAACCCTTAAGTCTTCCTTTTATCTTTGGCAAGAAAGAAAGAAAATGCTTGGCAGTTGATCCTTATTTTCTTTTGATATTTCGTAAGTCCTAGCACGGGGCCTTGGCAGAGCTATGTGAAGTCTCAGCAGAACTGGGTAACAGACTCCGCTGCTGACAGTTACTGAAATAACTAAGGATTAGCAGGAAAAAAAGACTTGCAATGGAAGAGCTGCCGCTGATGTAAAGCGAAACCCTGGCTATAAGCCAGACCTGTTTTCTTTCGTTCTGGGCTGTTCTTGCACAGCGCTGGGTGTGTCTCTCACCTGAGAAAACAGTGCCTTGGTTGCTACGGTCAGAGTAAAGAGCACCACCACGCCTGCTTTGGTCTGGTTGATGCGATTCAGGATGTCGTCCACAGCCTCCCGGGGGTCACTGTAGATGGGAATCAGGGCCTCATAGGCGATGCAGATGGCCTGCTGGGCGGCCAGCATGGAGAACTGCAGAACGCCCTGTTTGCCGTATTCGTCCTCGCTGCCCACCACCGCTATCCAGTTCCAGCCGAACTCCAGCACCAGGTGCACCATGGCCTCGGCCTGCAGCTTGTCGCTGGGCACGGTGCGCAGGAACGAGGGGAAGAGCATCTTGTCGCTGAATTTCTCACTCGTGGCTCCGTAACTGATCTGGGAATCAAGTGTACACACATCATCCATCACAACTACACTCTCATTCGCTGTGACTCTGTGGCGCTGGGGAGTGTGAGGTGAAAGCCTGTGATGATTTAGTTCCAGTAGGGAGCTGCGTCAGTAACTCCTGGCCTAGGTTCTCCCCTGCTTTATCAGCTGCTGACTTTCCTCTCTTTCTCACACCCGAGGAAGCCTCTATAGCTGGAACGTTGTGTTTCTTTTCTGCTCTTTTCAGCGTGGAATAAACCTTTACTTGTCCCCGTGATGATGTAACTGGTTTCTGGGTTTCTCTGGGACGTTTCCGTGGTGCCCTGTTGCCACGGTTACCTGCGGCATCAGGAAGAAGCTGAAGAGTTTGCCGGTAATGGAGACCATTTCGGAGGTCGAGGGCCCGATGACGGCCAGCACGCGTGTGCTGTAGCCGGTGTAGTTGCACAGCACGCGGATCCCCCTGGAGTGCTTTTCGCTGAGGAACAGCATGGTTGGCCGCATGATTACCGACGCCTGCTTGCACGAGTCATACACCTCAAACCCTAGCCTGGTGCCTGGGAGCAGGTCAGGAGTGTTGTTGATCTCATCCACGGCAAACTTCATCACCAGCGCCCGGCTCAGACCGTATGTGTTTAACCTGGGAAGAGCAGTAGCAAGAACTGTTGGAACACACACACGAACCCCTATCGCAGAGTCAGAGCGATTACTGTGGCGCACACTGCACGGTTGCAACACACACATGGCAAGTACAACAGCTGAGACACCTATAATTCATAGCGATGGCAAATTAGAATCAGTGACAAGTGTTTTCAGTGTGTGTTGTGGCATTAGTGTAGCTGTTAGCAGTAGAATCCTAACTGGTTAAAGAAGAAAGACAGGTTTTAGGGTTCAGGTTGGGGTTGAGGTTGGAGATGGGACAGGGCTGACCGCTTGAATATAAAGAATATAAAGATATTAAGGACAGACATTGACAGCAGCTCAGAGACTTTTTACCTGTCACAGTACACATCGTCAGGCTGGCTCCTCTCACTCAGGTTGCTGGTCAGTTCGTGGATGGGAAACAGTCCCCCGAGGATAATGTCCCCCGGCGATCTGAACAGGTCTGTGGAAATATTCTTCAACCAGTGAAGAGGGTCCGCAGTGGGGCTGGTCCAGAGGACAGAGGGCAGGAACAGCATCCTCAACATGACCTCCATTCTCCTGCACTGCGCAGACCGGCACAGAGGGGGAATGGGGCTGAGAAGCACAAATCAGGAAGGCACAGGAGGTAGGAGAAAATAAATGAAAGGAGAAAAAGAGGGTTTGAAGGAATGATGCAAGTTAAAAAGATACTAATAGATGCAAGTCCTTGCTGCTGGCAGAACCACACAATGACAGACAGGCAATGCCAGTGGAGAGAACCTGGCAGAGTATCTGGTACAACAAGCAGTACAGACAGATGCACCTCCAGAATCTGTGCAAAGCTGATTGGGTCCTTTGAGAAGACCACCCCAGAATCCAGTCCTCAGCGTGCAGTCCGTCTCTTCTGCGGAGAGGTACAGTTTACAGAGTGCCTTTCTCTCCAGTGCAAGAGAGAGAGAAGGTAGCTCTTATTGTAACATGATAGTCAAATCATTGTCCCTTGAGGACATTAGAGTTTACAGGGAGCCTTTTGCACACAGAGCGAGATATGGAAATGAGGCATGTCATAATGACAACAGTTGTCCCTATGTGGCCCCATCTCCTTTGTGGTCATCCTCTTATTTTGCATGTTGTGTGTTGTATTGTTTCTGGAATTTTCAAGGCATTGTTGTCGGGGCAGAAGTGCTACAGAAGTCCCTTTTGTAAAACAAAACCAGTGATTTAAGAATGAGGACATTCTGTGAGGTATTCAAATAATTGTCTGTGCTGCACACTGGGTTGTCAGTCAGTGTGTTTTCCTGTAAATAAAATAGCTCATAAGAGACATGGTAACAAATGGTTTTAATGAATAGAACACAAGCCGCGTGTTATCAAGGTGCTGACCCATGAAATTACTGTATGTTCAAATTAATTGAAACAGGTTAAGCTGCACAGATTTTTACTCCATATACTTATTAAAACTAATAAACTCTAAATAAAGTTTAATAAGCAAAAAGCATACAGTGCGTAGAGTGTGTGTGTAATGGGAGCCGGTCCAGGCTCCCGTGAAGTGTAGTTCAGGACCCCATGCAGACGGTATAATCCAGAAGTAAGTGGAGTAAGACAACGGGGAGGAGACGACGAGGAACTGGGCAGGTTGCCCATATACCAGAAAGGGCAATGAAACTTGTGAGCTGCACTTACCATCGGGGATACCGTGTGTGTGTGTGTGTGTGTGTGTGTGTGTGTGTGTGTGTGTGGGGGTGTAATAAAGTCTCAGAGTGTTTCAAATGCAGTAATATAATACAAGAAAGAACAAAGCCTAGATAGATGTCCAGTAGGGTGGTCAGTCAGGCTTCGGACTGTCTCTCTTTTTTCTTGAGACTGCCTTTATACCCTTTTTAACGAAAAACCAGTACAAAAATAAATAAAAAAACAGAGCCACACCTGTATTATCCATGCATAGAACTGTTGAATTTGAAAAAAGAGAAAATTATCATATTGTTGAAGTTTGTGTGTTTTCTTTTATTTTATTGGATGAGACTGAGATCAAAGAGAACAGAAAAGTTGTGGTCAATCGCTGGAGCAGTTTGGGAAACATATTTTTATGGTGGAAAAGAAAGGAGGTGTTTGGATCGATTTGTTTTAACTTGCTTTGACACCAGCTCGGATTTCAGGCAAATTCTGTTGCTGGTTTGCATCTTGAGAGCTTCTCTCTGGATCTGTTAAAATAAAGGTGGAATTCAAATTGCTTTCACATCTACCATTCAAATCTAGGTCTACATCCTCATGAGAAATTGCCTGTGACAGAACCTTTAATGATGCTGCAGCCTGGGGTCTTGTATTTTCTCTCTACAGGTGTCACAGTTGTGTTCCTGACATTCTGAACTATAGTAAGAGGCATTAAACGCACAAGAAACTGATAGCACTGCTCCAGTGCTGGTTGCACCTTTAGTGTCTCTCAGTATGCATAAATGTTTCATACTGGTATTTTTGCATATGCATTAGTTGATCGACAGTTCTGGTTGTTAGAGAGTTTAGTGTATGTTTATGTTATATATTAATGGAGATTGAGGGTATGACACATCCAATAGTTTGAATATGCTCAGAAAATAAATTGCAATTAGGGTAGGCAGTTAATGTTTCTTTTAATCAGATATTACCCTCATATTTAGTGTACTGCATTTAGCTCACACTCGTGTCTGTTCTTGAGCAGTTAAATACCTGGGTGTTTCACCAACATTTGTATGAAGTATTTTGCTCTAGGCAATAGTATTAATAATTATAATAATGCATTACACTTATATAGCACTTTTCTGGACACTCTACTCAAACTGAACACTTTACAAGTACATGGGTCCCCCCTTGAATCAGGATTGAACCTCATGAGCATCCAGTTACAAGACTGAACCTTAAACAATACCTCACGCCACTGTCTCTCTCTACCTTAATCAATACCCCCGGCCAAACTGCATTGTTCATTTTGAGTCAGAACCAATAGATGTGTCTGCCGTGTGGAAGGAACAACAAATGATTGACTTTTCCTGAGGGCCAAGTGCAGTGAATGACCTGTCTTCAGGGGTTGTAACATGTTTATTGTTAGGAGCAGATCTTTCCACTTCCATCTTTATTCTCTCCCACAAAAACAAATTACCCCTGAAGATAGAGGGAAAAAAGAACTTAGGCACGGTGAACACCATTATTAGATGTGAACAAATGCTGAAATGCCTGACACTGTCAGTTTGAGGCTTGAAAAATGAAAAGCAGATGTCATCTATTAACTGAGTATGATTGTGAGTGATTCGCAGCAAACGGGGAAGAGATCTGGACAAAGGATTCAGGTCCATGCAGAGCACTTAAATGCTATATGACTCCAACCTTTTCATTCACCCCCTGGGGTTTTCTGCATCCCAAGTGTTTCCATAAAGAATCCTTCACCAAAGTAATCTTGCTTTTAAAAAACAGACGGACCTGTATTTACTAAAAGACATGACCAATAATATATTCTCTCCTGAGCCATGTATAGCCTTTTGACTCCTCCCAGCACTGAGACCTCAACTGAAGCTTGTTGAGCCCAGACCAGACAGATCTGAAAAGAAAATGCAAAGCATGAATGTTTTTACTGATGCAACAGCTTCGGAAAATAATAGATTCCCAGATTCTGTTGACTGGCAATCAGGCTTGCATGTTGGGGGAAAGCAAAAATGTGTCAAGATGTTGGTTTTCTCATTGGCACATCTATCTCCACGTTAACTGCATCGGTTGACTCCCTGAGAACTAGAATAGATACTGTAGATATTACTTCCTGTAGAAAATCCACCCCTTCCCTGAAGTGGGACACACCAACACTCAAAACTAGACCAGGGCAAGGGCTGTAAAACAACAGAGCCGATAAGAAGATGAAAAAGTCTGATAAAGTTTGATTCCTAACACACATCAAGGATTTGTGGTCAGCATGGTGGGGTGGTGATTAGCCAGGCTGCCTCATTACTCTCTGGGTTCTGGGTTCTATTCTAGGTTTGATGCAGGTGCTTTAGTTTCTCCTTAGCTTCCAAAGACGTAGATTGATTGGTTTTTCTAAATTGTCCCTGTATGTGTGGATCTGTGTGACCTGCAATGGACTGGCATCTTGTTCTGGTAGTCCCATCTGGCACCCTGTATCTGCTGGGCTTACAGCTCTCTTAAGGATGAACCAGTTGTGTTTCAGTGCACATTGCTATGATCTGTAAAAAATGTGAAGGATTGGGCAGAGTGGTGTGTCAGGGGTAAGCCAAGCAGGGCAGGTATACAATGGCAGGGGGGAGATTTATTCTTTAGTAGTTTATCAGGGGCGAGGAACTATCAAAGACTGGTTTAACCAGGTGACGCTCACTTCCATGCCATTGCTGTATTCAAATATCGTCCTCGCTTCAGCTGCAGGTTGTGTCTCTCTCCCTCTTTTAATTTTCATTGCATTTCCCTGCAACAGCCACAGTCACTGCTCAGCACGATCCCAGGACCTCAGGGAAATATATTGAAATGAACTCCAAGGCAGGACACTCCACCCCTGCTTATATTAAAAAAGACCCTGTGCAATTTTCATGGCTCTACAGACACAGCACTGATTGCAGGGCAAACATAACACTTGTTAGAAGCCTCGCCTTTTCTTCAGTTTCTTCAGTTATTTCAGTGTTGCCTGTACTAAGTTGAGCTACACTATACTGAAAGAAACTACCAGTATAAATGTACCATGTATCGCTTTATAGCACAGATTTCACGAGGTTATTATAACGATGATTGCAGCAGGTGTATAGATTTTCATTGAACCAATAATACATTTATTATATTGGTTATAATTTGTCATCAACAAGGTCAATCAATCAATACAAGCTGAGCATCTGCCATACAAGCCTAACACCAGGGTGCAGATACTGTTTTGTGGAATTCGTTTTGATGAGCCTGGATGATCACATCTCTGTTCACTGGTCTCTGAGCTCAAGATGCCACATGTCATTCAGGCTCATCCCACAGATGTTCTGTGGAGCTCAGGTCTGATGAGTGGGGCATCCATGCTTTAACTGAGAATTTGCGGTGTCTTGAATATTGTTGTGTCAGGATGAGATCACAGGAAGGGCAGTAAGTGAGGTCCCAGTTCTTAATCCAAGTAGCTCTGTGTAGTCAGACGGTCATCAATTACTGCAATTACTACATTCCTGGTTCTAACCAGGAATATTATACATGAATGGTAATGTGTTGATCTTGGCAAGGTGTCATGACTTGTGATTTCCAAGGTCATAGTCTATGATTGGTGGACTGTGTTTGGGTATTATGTCTTGCCAGGCTAGATATTACTGGGTATCAATATCCCAGACGATAAGTCATGATATGATGATAACACCAAATAAATTTGATCAATATCAAAAACATGCACAGTAGATGCTATCGTTCTATTTATCATGTATGTGTAGAGGGATACATTTAAGTTGAAGCTCGGTTTATGTATATTGTGTGCTTTTATTCATTTTTTGACCTGGTGAATGTGTTTGTGATGAATTTTAGTCAATACGTAGGTGTCTTTGAAAGTGTTTTCTATAATACAATTTATTGTTTTTAACATGTCTTTGCTCTGTGCAATGCTATTATTTCGATATTGGAGGCCTGTGTAAATAGTTGCTGTCTGTTTTAGAGGACATCACTACTGGGTCTGTTTCATTAAGTCTCTGTAATAAATATAATAATTTCCTGGGCTAAAAAGCAATTCATCTCAACAAGATTTCTTGCCTGAATACCAGCAGACAATCCTGGTTCTGGTCTTGGGCTGGTGTGTCTGCAGGTGTTCTTCAACTCCTCCCAGCAGCATCACCTAAAGAGTTAGGAGAAGATGTTGAATTGCCAATAATGAGCTGATTGAGGTTGTTAAGAGCTGAACTGGAATAAAACCTGCAGACTCACTGGCCCTCCAGGACCAGCATTGCCCATTCTTGCTTAATTACTGGTTTCTACATTGCCTGATTAGCGCTAATCCTGGACTGTCTTATTCTGATTAGTGCAAGCTGGTGTAGGACTCTATAGCCCCATTATCAGCAGGTAAGGATTATACTGATGAATGGATTCCCAGCCCCCTAATCCTGAGGATCAAGAAAGTGGAAGCATGGTATTCACTTGCCAAACATCTAGTACAAAGATGACCAGTTTCCTATCATTCCCAAGATGAAGGGATTGAGAGAGCCAAATTGTTTTTAAAAGGTGAATACTTTTTTCTTGATTCAGTTCATACAGCACAGAATAACCTAAATGTTCTCTTGCTGAGGTGTTTCATGCACTGGGCTCTTGTGACCCTGGTGTCTGCTGGTATTTGTTCCAACATAAATCTTGATTATTTATTTAAATGACTTCTCATCATCTATTAATTAGGCCAGTTTTCAGTTTTGGAGCTGATGTCAAATCTGTTTATAAATATTCATAAG